GGAATTCCATTCCTTCATCTGTGCGTGATCTCACGGCAATTACCTCCTTCAATACTGCCCTAAGACAGCTTCTGCTGCAAAATGAGCTGCATGTGCGTCACTACTAATAGTGTTAGTGACGGTCAGTGTTCAAATTAGCTTCCTTTAGTTACTTTCTTTATTTTTGCTTATTTTATGCACTGGTTCTTTTTATCAAGTCATACTTACAGTTATTGGTACTTTTTTTTTCTTTTGTGAATATCTTACCGCTGTTACTATTATTATTCTTTTTAGACTCCACTTGTGGATGTCAATTTGTAAGACATAACTTACAGTAAATAAATTACATACATACATACATACATACATGCTAACAGGACTATTTGACCGGGTCCTGAACTTCTACGTTCCGTTGCATCCATTTTAGCGAATGCTGCGAGTTGTGCGTGAATCACTCAGAATAGAGAACAATCTGCGTGAATGCCTCCCATTTATATAAGTACTGCATGAATAACTTCACTCACTCTTCTGCGAAACACTAAGGTCATCTGTGTGACTAACGTTACTTCCCCCCGCCCCCTGTAGCGCAGTCTACCAGCCGTCGTTCTCTTCCTCGCAGATACATTTTGCATTGGCGAGCCAACGACATGTTCCCCCTCTACCTGCCTGGACACATACAGAGGATTATCAAATATTCTCTTTCCACGTATTCTCTTATATTTTTCGGGAATTTGAGGTTTCCGCAAACCTCAGTATACCTCTACGACTTGTTGAATAAAAACGTACTTAAATACCCAGTCGACAGCCTTTTTAAATTCTGAACCAACCCCGACGTGATCATACTGAGTGACTTTTAATCAATGTGATTTCGAGTGACATGAGTTATTTTTGTACGGATGAATTTTTCTCGTTTTTCCGTGGTGGGAATTCATGTTTCGATTCCCACGTTCTCTCATTTCTCGCAGAGCAGTCTTCGGTGTAATTACCGCATCATCACGTCTCCTGAACATTTACTCCGCTGTTAGTTGTGTCCGAACTAAACTGATCATTTTTGTTGTTTTTCGCAAATTACCGCGAGTGAGGGTTAACGCTTTTTCGCGCCACGAAGAAGCGTCTTTTGTCGAGAGCATTCACCCGAGCAATTGACCTTCCCAAACAGCTGTTATGGGCTCGAGCGGTGAGGTTCGATGAATGGGATTTATCATATGCGGACAAATAATAGAAATAATTATCTTTATTGAATATTGATTTTAAATGATTATTTTACCATTTATTCAATAAATAAGAACTCGGTCTGATACTGAAGGTATGAGGTGAGTAAAAAATAAAAGCAGATAATTAAAGTGTCGTCGTATTACTGGCCGAGAGGCAACAAATTCACGAGTTTTTATATTCCATCGTGTATTCGATTGCATCAGGTCATTGTTTTCGTCACATACCTGCAAGGCATCGGGTGACGTATCCCGACGTGCGCGAAAGTCCGCCGTTGGGGTGCAAAATGCTGACGCTGCACCCCAGTTATCTACATTCGTCGAATATACGTGGTTTTGAAACACGAATATTCGACGTTATTTTATATTTCTTCATTCCCTATTTTGTTTCGAATAATATGTGCCACTTTCGTGTCCTCATATTATCCGGATCAACAGAGGAATTTCATGACGTTATTTTGGGGCATAATACAGCAGTGTACATTCCTAATGTTATTATGTATGCGCGGTCTTTGTGTGTACGTTTCTCAGCCCGCTGACACATTGCGGAGCACCCAGAGACGTGCTATGTCAGTGTGAGAATAAAGACTTATTTTATTCGATATTTTTCTTTGCTTTCTCTCTTCTTTTCGATTAGACTTTATTCTCGGCTGAGAGTTTTTTCTCATTCGGTTCTCTCGTTCGCGCACGTGAGAGTTTATGATGACGGATCGTAGTGAAAGGAAGTCAGCTGTCCTTGCCCCAGCTATGCCACTATCGATTAAGGCTCCGACTTTTAGCACGGAGAGTCCAGTGCTGTGGTTCACGCAGATGGAAGCCCAGTTCATCGTTTTTGGCATTGTCACTGAAGTAAAGAAATTCTACCGTGTTATTGTCGCGCTGGGTACCGACATTTGCAGAGAGGTAGAGGAGATCTGTGTTTCGCACCGACACTCCTTACCAGAAGTTGAAGACTGCGCTGATCTCAGGGTTCACGCGAACCAAGGACGCCCGCATGCGCCAGCTGCTCGATCAAGAGTCGCTCGGCAGCCACATGTTTTCAGCGCATCTTCGTCATTTGCGTAGTCTGGTCAGCGGAGTGGGTGATGATGTCATAAGGTCGGAGTGGCTTTCCCATCTTCCTGATAAGGTGGAAGCTTTTTTGGTGCAGGAAGCGGAAGATGAGGAGCTAGACAAGCTAGCCATTCGAGCGGACAGGCTTTTCTAAATTTTTAATCCTGGTAAGGCCACTGTCGCTGCAGTCTCTTCACACACCGTGGACTCGGCAAAGGATCGACAGATCGCTAAACTCACCAGGCAGATCGTGGCTCGCAGTCGTCATTCAACGACTTAAAGAGGTCGATGTCAAGGTTGAGGTCTAAGCCAAGAGGGTTCAGAGCTCGTTCTCAAAGCTCTTCACGCAAGTTTTCTGTCAGCATCGATACCTGCTGGTATCACTAGAAATTTAGTGAGAAGGCGAAGAACTGCACCCCTGGATGTAAGGTCCAGGGAAACTCCAGGGAGAGTCACTAGCGGCAGAAGTTGACTCTCACCTGTAGTCTCGCCGTCTCTTCGTCAGGGATTCTCACTCAGGCAAACCACCCAAGCTTTCAGGGTATCAGCTGTTTGCGGCAAACGGCTCAGCAATCAACACCTACGGATTTGTTATCATTACACCTGATCTAGAGCTAGGAAGAGATTTCACCTGGTGATTCATCGAAGCCAACGTCTCTCACCCGATTATCTGTACTGATTTTCTGAACCATTTCCACCTGGTACCAGATCTGACGGAGCATTGCCTTATTGATCAGTCGACCGGTCTCAAGGTTAAAGGTGTGATGAAGGTTATCTTCTGCTCCTCCATCAAGTCACCCCAGGCATCTGATATCTCGGAATGGACTGAGCTTCTCAGAGATATCCCGTACATCACTCGACTTGATGTAAAAATAAAGGCCAGTTTGCATCACGCTGCATCACATCAAGACAGCCACAGGTCCATCTGTCTCCTGTCGAGCTCGTTATCTTCTCCCGGAAAAGATGAAGATTGCCCAAGCTGAATTCAACAGAATGATGCAGTTGGGTACTGGTCGTTCTTCAGATAGCTCTTGGTCGACTCCTCTTCACCTGGGTACCAAGAAGAATGGAGAATTGCGGCCTTGTGGTGACTATCGTCCGCTCAACGCTAGAACAATTCCTGATAGGCATTCTATACGTTACCTTGAGGACTTTCCAGCCAATTTGCATGGTACCACCATCTTCTCGATTTTTGACCTGGTGAAAGCCTTAAATCAGATGCCCGTGGCTGCTGAGGACATCCAGAAGGCGGCCATCATAACAACTTTTGATCTCTTCGAGTTCCCATTCATGACTTTCGGCCTCCGAAGTGCTGCCCAAATGTTCCAGCGCCTTATCGACGAGGTTACTCGTGATTTGCCTTTCACGTTCGCCTACATCGATGACATCCTGGTTTTTTCCAAGGACGCTGCTGAAAATCGCGAGCATCTCCGGCAATTTTTCAGTAAACTGCGAGAATGCGGCCTCACTGTAAACGATGTCAAGGTTTGGGCAGGCAGAAGTCCCTTTCCTCGGACATCAGATCAGCGCCCAAGGCATGAAACCTCCTCAGGAACGCGTGAACGACATCCTCGAGTTTCCTGGACCGGCAACTGTGAAGGCTCTCAAGAGATTCCTTGGCACCATTGAATTTTATTGACGATATTTTAAGGGCGCAGCCAACATTCTCTCTCCTCTCACTCATTGTCTACAAGGTCCAGAGGTGAAGAACTCGAGCCCTATGCAGTGGACTGGTGACTGCGAAGAGTCATGCACCAAGGCCAAGCAAGCATTAGCAGGAGCTACGCTGCTTTCGTACCCAGACATCAGAGCAGAGTGCAGTGTATTTTCAGACGCGTCCGATCACGCCAGCGGAGCTGTCCTCCAGCAAAGCCATCAAGGAGCCTGGCAGCCTCTTACCTTTTTCAGTCCGAAATTGTCTCCATCGACACGCAAGCACTCAACCTACGACAGGGAACAGTAGGCTGCGTACGAGGCAGTCAAGCTCTTCAGGCACATCTTCGAAGGTCGGCACGTGATGATCTTTACTGACCACCTGCCTCTTACACACGCCTTCAAGCAGAGCCCTGATCGTGCGGCACCCTAGCAGTTCAGAAAGTTAGATTTCATCAGCAGTACCGACGTCGGTGGCCGAGTGGATTCGACGCAAGTCTAGTGTGCGAAAGGTTGTGAGTTGGATTCCCCGTGGAACCGAATTTTTCAACGGAAGGCTCCGGCGAGCGGGAGGTTCCTAATAGAAGAACCGCTTGTACCGGCATGGGTTTTCTGCGGTTTCCCCATGCTACGTCTATGTTCTATAGAAGTGCGAATGTGGTACAGTGTAGAATCCACAGCCGCATGCATAGGGTTGTATAGAGTGCCGAATGGGACCCCAAAAGGGACTCCAAGGCCGTAAAAAAAAAGATTTCATCAGCCAGTTTACTGCGGATATCCGTCATGTTGTTGGAGCCGAGAATATTGTTGCTGACACTTTTTCACGTATTGAAGCGGTCTCAATGGTTGTTACTGCCGAACAACTGTAAGCAGTTCAGGAGGATGATGAAGAACTGCAAAATCTTCTTCAACGGCGCGAAAACAGCGGCCTTCAACTCCGGAGAGTTTATTACCCCGAACTGAACGCGGCACTGTTCTGTGACATGCCATCGAAAGCAGTGTGCCCTTACCTTCCTGGGAACCTGAGGAAGAAGGTCTTCAAGTCCCTGCATTCTCTTCATCACCCAGGAATCAGGGGATCCTGGTGGATCGTCTCGGATCGATATGTTTGGCCCTCGATGCAGAAGTACTGTGCTGAGTGGACCAAGCACTTACCTTGAGTGCCTTGTTTGTCTTGAGTGTCAACGCGCCAAAGTTTCTCGACGTTGCTCAACACCACTGGGGGACATTCAAGTCCCTTCTCACCGGTTTGAGCACATTCATGTCGACCTCATCTCTTTTCCTGCATCGAGAGGGTGTCTGACGATCGTGGATCGCTTCACCAGGTGTCCAGAAGCAGTGCCTTTGGGGGATTTCCGCCCAGACACCGTTGCTCACGCCCTTCTCTACCATTGGGTTTCGAGGTTCGGAGTAACTCTGAGAATAACCACTGATCGTGAAGGTCAGTTCTTCTCAGACACCTTCCAGAAGCTCTCTGAACTCTTGGGCAACCGCCGGTTGATGACGACACCCTACCATCCTAAAGCGAACGGCCTGCTGGAGCGCCTCCATCGACAACTGAAGGCAGTCTTGCATTGCCACGGTGACGAGTGGTTCGACGCTGTTCCCGTCATTCTTCTTGGGCTTCGCTCCGCCTGGAAGGAGGACCTGCAGGCAATACCAGCGGAACTAACATACAGTGAGCCTCTTCGTCTCCCTGGCGAATTTCTGGCTCCTGCTGTCCATAAGTCTCCTGCACCAGCCCTGGTTAAGAACCTCCGGGATCCCCTTCATAGTCTCGCGTCAGTGCCGACATCACACCATGGAACGAAGCCAACGTTTGTCTTCAAGGACTTGACAACCTGCTCTCATGTCTTCATTCGGAATGATCAGGCCCGTAAATCTTACAAATCACCTTATTCTGGTCATTTCGTATCGTCAGCAGGCATGAGAAGTATTTTAACGTCTTCTTTCATTCCGGAACTTGTTACGGGAACTACGAGAGCGTTCTCATTTACATCGATTACCTGAAACCAGGTTATGTGCTTCCTGAAGACCTGGATCAGGTACTGGGCCCTTCTCCAGATGGCCAGCACCAGCAGCAGCAACCTCAGCAGCAGCCTCAGCCTTCGACCAGTACTTCAGCTGCACCAGCTCCGTCAACTTCGGCAAGCTCATCGAGCTCCGGAGAAACTCGCAAGAAAGTCTCGTTCAACTTGCCGAAGAGACGAGGAAGATGACAACTCACCTAGCGAGACATGTAAAGCGAGTGCAAAATTTAAATGCCCAACCATTTGTTTGTGCCTCACAATAGTTTTTTCTCTTGTCCTCTCTGTTTTTTTTGTTACTAAATTTTTTTTCTCTCTTTTTTATATGTACTTTCAGGGTCCAAGTATAACCACTGATCCAAGAGGGGAGGTATGTAGCGCGGTCCAATAGACGTCGTTCTCTTCCTCGCCGATACATTTACCATTGGTGAGTCGACGTCATGTTCCCCCTCTACCTGCCTGATCACCTATAGAGGATTGTCAAATATTCTCTTTCCACGTGTTCTCTTATATTTTTCAGGAATTTGAAGTTACCGTAAACCTCAGTATACCTGTATGACTTGTTGAATGAACATGGTGTAAGGGTCTAAGACTTCTAAATAATAAGTTCATAATAATTTTAGAGTAGAACAGTCGAAAGTAGTTTATTTTGTTTCACTCAATTTAAAATATTAAATTGGCTGTACAGTGGTCACTGGTAGATAGCGCGTGAACGACTGACTTCTTTCTATTCAAATACAAGTATATATGTATTATCGATTTTAATTTTTCGGCTTGGCTTACAATTTCGGCCTTTCCTGATAAGTTGTCCGCCCACGGACAAATAGAAAAAACACAACGTTAAATTACGAATACATAATCAAAATATAAGTAAAATAAAAATACATACATGACAAAATATAATGTAAATCGAGTCAATTAAAATCTTTTATGAGCATTATTCATTATCGTTAAGCCAGGGTCGAAGATTACCAGCCTTCCATGTACCTTCGTACGCACGCTGAGTAATCTGAGAATTCTCTACATCCTTTAATACATATCTGTCGTTCCTCAGTACTCTAACAATCTCGTAAGGACCTTTTGTCCTTGGGATCAATTTCTTTGGGGAACCTGGCGTGCTCTCAAAATTCTTCACCATCACATAATCACCTACTTTATATTTTCGAGCCTTTTTAGCACTCTTGTTATGATGTTTTTCATTATAAATTTGATGTTTAACAACCTCGTTAGATGCCTTTTTACGAATAGACTCAAGATCACGTTCCTCTGAGTTGTACTTCTCCTTTAAATAATCGCATACTTCATCCACACTTCTCCCTTTCTGATTTACACCAAATAATAACCGACTAGATGTCTCACCAGTGCTCTTATTTACAGTGTTATTGATGGCGTACTCAGCCTCACTAAGGACCTTATACCAGTACTTTCCATTATTAATATCAATAGTTTTCGCAACAATTGGTGAGAGGACTCGGTTTATCCTCTCGACCTGTCCATTTGCCTTGGGTGAACTAGTTGCAATGAGAACATGACGAACATTATTTTCTGACAAAAAATCCTTAAACTCAGCGGATGTGAAACTAGAGCCGCGATCAGAAACTATTGTAGTTGGACGGCTGTTATGTGTGAAATAATCGATCATACAATCAATTATCTCCTTGGACGAGGTAGACTTAACCGCGTACAATTTCACAAATTTGGTGAATGCATCGATAACAACAAGTACATGTTTCTTAACAAGTCTTTATTTTTCCATTGGCCCTAGGTGATCAATATGTATTGTCTGAAAAGGGACCACTCCCTTCGGTATAGAATGCAAGAAACCTTCACGTTTGCCCGTGTTTGGAGAAAATGAGATACATTTTAAGCAATTGTCAATGTAAATTTTAACTTTATCTCTCATATTGAGAAACCAATAATTTCGTCGAATTGCTCCACAGGTTTTCTGTACACTAAAATGTCCTAACTCATCATGATACTTCTTCAAATTTTGATTTTCCATTTTCTCTGGCACGTAAAAGAGCAAACCTGAATCCTTCTTCCGATAAACTAAACCGTTTCTCATTTCAAACATTTGATCTTCTGATTTTTCTAGTTTTTCTCGAATTTCCAAAATCGTTTTCTCTTTATTCTGACAGATTGCTAAATTGAATTCGAAGAGGTTATCTTCAAGGACTAATATATTATTGGTGCGACTGAATGCATCGATAACAACAAGTACATGTTTCTTAACAAGTCTTTATTTTTCCATTGGCCCTAGGTGATCAATATGTATTGTCTGAAAAGGGACCACTCCCTTCGGTATAGAATGCAAGAAACCTTCACGTTTGCCCGTGTTTGGAGAAAATGAGATACATTTTAAGCAATTGTCAATGTAAATTTTAACTTTATCTCTCATATTGAGAAACCAATAATTTCGTCGAATTGCTCCACAGGTTTTCTGTACACTAAAATGTCCTAACTCATCATGATACTTCTTCAAATTTTGATTTTCCATTTTCTCTGGCACGTAAAAGAGCAAACCTGAATCCTTCTTCCGATAAACTAAACCGTTTCTCATTTCAAACATTTGATCTTCTGATTTTTCTAGTTTTTCTCGAATTTCCAAAATCGTTTTCTCTTTATTCTGACAGATTGCTAAATTGAATTCGAAGAGGTTATCTTCAAGGACTAATATATTATTGGTGCGACTGAATGCATCGATAACAACAAGTACATGTTTCTTAACAAGTCTTTATTTTTCCATTGGCCCTAGGTGATCAATATGTATTGTCTGAAAAGGGACCACTCCCTTCGGTATAGAATGCAAGAAACCTTCACGTTTGCCCGTGTTTGGAGAAAATGAGATATATTTTAAGCAATTGTCAATGTAAATTTTAACTTTATCTCTCATATTGGGAAACCAATAATTTCGTCGAATTGCTCCACAGGTTTTCTGTACACTAAAATGTCCTAACTCATCATGATACTTCTTCAAATTTTGATTTTCCATTTTCTCTGGCACGTAAAAGAGCAAACCTGAATCCTTCTTCCGATAAACTAAACCGTTTCTCATTTCAAACATTTGATCTTCTGATTTTTCTAGTTTTTCTCGAATTTCCAAAATCGTTTTCTCTTTATTCTGACAGATTGCTAAATTGAATTCGAAGAGGTTATCTTCAAGGACTAATATATTATTGGTGCGACTGAATGCATCGATAACAACAAGTACATGTTTCTTAACAAGTCTTTATTTTTCCATTGGCCCTAGGTGATCAATATGTATTGTCTGAAAAGGGACCACTCCCTTCGGTATAGAATGCAAGAAACCTTCACGTTTGCCCGTGTTTGGAGAAAATGAGATATATTTTAAGCAATTGTCAATGTAAATTTTAACTTTATCTCTCATATTGGGAAACCAATAATTTCGTCGAATTGCTCCACAGGTTTTCTGTACACTAAAATGTCCTAACTCATCATGATACTTCTTCAAATTTTGATTTTCCATTTTCTCTGGCACGTAAAAGAGCAAACCTGAATCCTTCTTCCGATAAACTAAACCGTTTCTCATTTCAAACATTTGATCTTCGGATTTTTCTAGTTTTTCTCGAATTTCCAAAATCTTTTTCTCTTTATTCTGACAGATTGCTAAATTGAGTTCGAAGAGGTTATCTTCAAGGACTAATATATTATTGGTGCGACTGAGAGCATCTACATGTTGCATTTTCGTTCCAGCTCGATGTTCAGTCTCGTAGTCATAATGCATTATCTCAATTGCCCATTTTTCAATACGCGGACATACTTGTTTCTTCTCTAAGGTCATTTTAAGAGCGGCACAATCTGTGACAATTTTAAAATGAATTCCTTGCAAATAAACGCGAAAACGCCTCAACGCATAAATAATGGCAAGAGTTTCTAATTCAAAACTGTGTAGAAGACTCTCAGGCCCAGTTGTTGCTTTTGAAAAATAAAAAACTTGATGGAATTTCAAATCACTCTTCTTTTGGAGCAATACAGCCCCAAACCCATTTTTGCTCGCATCGGTATGAAGTTCAGTCTCATCTCGTGGATTATAAATACTGAGCAACGGTGCCTCGATTAGTTTCTGTTTCAGTACTTCGAACGCATTCATCTCGTCATTACCAAACTTGAATTCTACATTTTTGCGAATAAGGTTATAAAGTAGTCTTGATAAAACAGAGAAACCCTCGATAAATTTTCTAAAATACGAAGTCATGCCTAAAAATCGTTGTATACCTCTACCATCGTGAAGCACGGGAAACTCTTGAATTGCTGCCACGCCAGCTGGATTAGGTCTAACACCTTCCTCAGTTATTACATATCCCAGAAACTCAACTTTGGTATACAATAACTTGCATTTGTCAATACGGAGCTCCAGTAAATTCTCATTCAACAATTTAAATAACCGTTTCAGAATGCTCATATGCTCTTCAATAGTTTTGGTTGCAACTAATACATCATCCATGTACACTACCACATCACCCGATCTAATCAATTCATCTAAAGCTTCATTAATAAATCGTTGGAATCGTGGAGGACCTACTTTAAGCCCGAATGGCATTCGCTGATATTCAAATACACCAAGAGGTGTGGTAAATGCGGTATATTTAATTGAATCCTTTGCCATTCTAATGTGAAAGAAATCATTTTTCAAATCGAACGTACTAAAATATTTTTTATCACGTAACAAATCAATTTGGTCTTCAATTAATGGCAAAGGATAATTATTCTTCGCGATGGCCTTGTTTATATGTCTGTAATCCATACACAACCTCGCCATTCTTCTTCTTCATAATAATAATAGGTGACACATACTCAGAATTGCTAGGGCGAATGATTTGTTTACTTTGGAAATCTTCTACCATTTTACGTAAATTTTCTTTTTTGTGAAATGACAATCGTCGCGGACTGTAATTGAACGGTTTTATATCTTCCATTTCTAAATGCAACTCCATATCAACTTTGGGTGAATCAGGTTTTACTGCTTTAACATACTCTTCATCAAACAATTCTTTCACCGCTGTTTTGAGTCTTATCGATAAATCCGGATTAATATTTAGTGAATCACAATTGTTTTCTTCATCATCGATATCAACGTTCATAATATCGTTGACAGCTAGCTTAAAAGGATTCATTAAAATCAAGCCGAATTCCTTCAATACATCCCGACCCAAAACAACTGGTAATTTCAT